GCATAGTAAAGTAATACCTTTATTTAAATCTAGTAGTACATTAGACCCCGCCAATTTTAGACCTATTTCTGTACTACCAACACTTTTTGAAAAAATTATACTTGATCAAATGTTAAATTTCTATAATATAAAGAATTTACTTCATATAAATCAATGGTTTGTTTTGGTTTTGTTTTGGTTGAATTGGTTTCACAACTAGTTATCACTATCACTTATGTAACTGCAAATATCAGTTACCACTTTATGCAACTAGCTATCAATTTCAATATGTAACTGCAAATATCAGTTACCACTTTTTGCAACTAGCTATCACTTTCAAATATGCAACTGCGAATATCAGTTACTATGTTGTACAACTAGCTATCACTTTCACTTGTGTAACTGCAAATATCAGTTACCCCGTTACGCAACTAGCTATCACTATCACTTATAACTGCAAATATCAGTTACTATGTCGCTAGCTACTATTCACTATGTTCTATATTCTGCTACTAGTCATTTCAGCTACTGCTGGTTACTACCGCTTCTTACTGGTAGTTCTTCACACTACAACCATAGATTACTGTATATATACTAGAGATAGATGCGCGACTCAAATTTAATTTTCTTTAGTGTCGTGCTTTGCATAACAGACGGCGCTTACAAAAGAAGGAACTTGAAAAAAAGGGAAAAAATAAACACTAATGCTGTACGCGATCCGGGGTCTTTAGATTTCGGGCCCGTCCGATTATCCAGCTGAGCTATTATAAACATGTGCGTTGAGGCGAAATTTACCTTCGTATTCTAATAATATTTTAGCAGTTTTTCATTGTCTGAAAGCACAGATAAAATGGCATTTTCTAAAAAGAAATAATGTTCAATAAATATTAATAACAATTTAAGCGTAACCAGTGACCGCTACTAACTGCGTAGTGCGCGTGGATTATTGCGTATGCATAGACTTAATATATAAGTGCCCTCTAGTGAGATTAAAATAAGTCTAGCCTAGCGCTTCGGAATGTAGATGGAAGCACATAAAACGTATCATTTTGTTCGTAAAATAATGTTCTAAGTTGCATGTCCATGACTACAACGTTAAAGGCCTATTACACTATGCAGTATCAAGACAGTTTTACTAAGATTTAGCGTAGTGTAATAAGAGTAAGCAAGTTAGTCTGTCTAATTAGACGGACCGTGTGGGTTCGGCCGTGCTTGCTTGCTTTCTTGCTGAATATCGCGTGGTGTAATAAGACTTTGCTATTTTACGCTGGTATTCTGTGAGAGCGTGGTCCATCCCCGATCGAGCCGAGCCATTCGTGCTACAACTATACTACTAATATAGCTGCAGCATGGCTATACCACGTATGAAATCATCCTTTTGAATATATTATGAAGTAACTAATTTCAACAGATATTCAAACTCAGCAACCCCCACTCTAAGGTAGTTTCTTAATTCAGATGGTTCCAAAACACTCAGTATTTGCATATTTGATATATTTCCCGTAACAGTAAATACTCCTTCAGCCATATTTTTCTTTTCTTTTTTGTACTCCAAGTAATAGACGTGGCAAGAGCTATGGCGATTTTCTGGTGCTTCGAAAGTCTTCTCATGACACCGCGACAACCGTCACCGGCTACGGAGGCTTTGCAAATGATTTAGCATGCGGTATTCAGGGCGGTGTTATAGCGAGCTTGTCTAATTAGACTTTAAAACAGTCTTAATAAGACTGTCTTGATACTGCGTAGTGTAATAGGCCTATTACTGGGTCCCGAGCCCCTAAGGTAGACTTGAGCGTTACTTTAAAGTGAGCCGCTCGCCATTGTCCGTTTTGCCTCTTTATCGCATAACATTTTCACTATACAATTGACATAAATTACAACTTTTTCCAAACATGATTAATTCCTACACTAATGTACTATATATTAAATCGGCAATTCAGCCATTTATTAGTATAACATAAAGGTTACTCAATATATTATTAACATTATAAAAAGTTATTAAACAAAATGTCCAGAATTTTCATAATATTTGGGAACATTATTTCTTTAATTTCACTATAAAAAGCAAATAAGTTTAATTATGCAAAATATTCTTTCACAACATAAAAATTATTCCCATTATTTTCGGGATCAACTATTACGCAGTTAATTAAAAACTTCCAGAAAGTTCTACAATACGTCGCGCTCTGATTGGTCGACTTTTCTTTGTATATAATAAAAGTTGTCTATCTTAACTATTTATATATATCGAAACGATATCCTATAATAACATATTAGGGTTATAAATATGCTGTAAAACTATATTAATACACTTTTCACTTAGTTTTGTCGGTTATTTCACTTTTAATAGTGTCTTTAATCACTTCGTTTTTAAACATTATTTGGCCGTCGCGAACAATTATCAAAAAAAAGCTTTATTTGAATATGTCAAGTAGTAAGCGCAAGACTACTGGAACAAGATATTTTTGTAAATTAACCATAATTTTATTAATTCCAAACCATATACATTGTAATAAATGAATAATTAACGATACTAATACAAAAAAGGCAAACATATTATGTATCAAATCGCAGACATATGTAGCCTATGTATATATAATATGTATGTGCGTATTATAAAATAACTATAATTGTATCTCAAATGAATACCGTTGTGAAAATTGACATCATACTCCCGCCGGTGGGGGTGTACCTTACGGCGGAAATCATAAAATATCAAAAATAAAAAAACCGTCAAATGCCTTTTGTACGCCGATGAGCAAGTCATATTTGCGTCGTCCGCGGCTGAATTGAAAATGATGGTTACATTAATGAACAGGACTGTAAAAGAAAAGGGAGTTAAAGTGAACGTAAGTAAGACGAAAATGATGGTTTTTTAAAGATAAGAAAGTAAAATGATATGTGAAATAAGAATAGAAGGGGAGTTGATTTAGCAAATTGATGAATTTGTGTATTGTCGACGGATTCAACTCGGCTGGGCAGCGTTCGGGAAGCTACGACACATCTTCTCGTCAGACATACCTCAAAACCTTAAAACGAAATTGTACAACCAGTGCGTGTTGCCAGTGATGACTTACGGAACTGAGACGTGGTCCTTCACTGCTGGCCGTATGAGGAAGCTCAAGGTCGCTCAGCGAGCTATGGAGAGGGCTATGCTCGGAGTTTCTCTGCGTGATAAACTTAGGAATGAGGATATCCGCAGTAGAACCAGAATAACCGACATAGCCCAACGGATTAGTAAGCTGAAGTGGCAGTGGGCCGGCCATATAGCTCGAAGAACCGACAACCGATGGGGAAGAAAGGTTCTCGAGTGGCAGCCTCGTACCGGTAGGCGAAGTGTAGGGCGTCCCCCCACGAGATGGAGTGACGACCTGGTAAGACATGCAGGAAGTCGATGGATGCAGGTGGCTCAGGACCGTGCTTTGTGGCATTCTTTGGGGGAGGCCTATGTTCAGCAGTGGACTTGTGAAGGGCTGTAATGATGATGATGATGATGATGTGTATTGTGGATGTGTATTTAGTAGGGATGGTAGATGTGTTTACGATACAGAACGACGAGTGAACGCAGGAAATAGAGTGAATGGGGCTCTACAATCGATTGTGGAAAGTCAGAATGTGTCAAAAAAAGCACGTATGCCAATTCATAATGCTGTGTTAGTCCCTACTTTGATGTATAATAGTGAAATAGTAGAAGTACCCCTAACCGACGAGCATGTATGCGTAGATATAGGATGTAAAGGAGTAGGAGTAAAGGAGAAATATCGACATTAATTTTTATATAGTTGGGTCAATCCCTAGCGTAAAATTATGTGTTTAAAAATGAATTCACCATAATCATCAAATTATCAACAACGTGACTTTTTTCTTTGCAAAATTAATAAAATAATTGATAGTATTCTATATTTTAAACGGTATATAACATAAATTTTAACCAAAAATAGACGCGTCATAGCAGTAACGACGTTTTGCGAATTTACCTGTGAAATGTGCCAACCATCAGGATTATAATATTATTGCCACGACAGTCACTCACGAAATATGTAACCATTTTGGAAAACTGTGAATTGTAAATATTAACACTATTATAGTCTAAATAATTACAAAAAGCTTATTTCTTGCGTGCCGACTTCTGCCTATCTGTCATTCAAAATCGGTTACACAGTCATGAGATTTGGTATCCTTTTCTATCTTGCATATTTGCCATAAGGAATTTTCTTCTCCCTTGCACACTATGTCCGTCTATACGCCAGTATATTCTAAGTCTATTCTTTCTATTATGACACATCACAACTCATCTATACATACAAATAAATAAAATTGAAGTGTCTGTTTGTAATATCAAAATAAGAGCTTTTTACTAAAAGCATATGAAAATATATACGGTACTAATAAGAAAAAAAAAACAATTTTTAACATTTTTGTCTGTCTGTTTGTTCTAGCTAATCTCCGAAATGGCTGACCTGATTTTAATGGGACTTACACTGGCAGATAGCTGATGTTATAAAGAGTAACTTAGACTACTTTTATTTTAGAAAAAGAATTAGGGTTCCGCGAATAAAAATTAAAACCCATGAAATCTAATCGTTATAAATTCCACCCGGGCGAAGTCGGAGGAACAGCTAGTTGTGATAAAATAAACATTACACTAGGATTTATGGTCTAAGAGCTTTTCCTCCCTTAAATGGCAAATAGTAATAAAAACAACAACAACAATCAATGTCAATGTCAAAATTTTTTCAGAATTTCAGATCCAATCCAAGCGCCTAAAAGCAAAGTATTTTGTGCTAGTGTCGTGTGTTCTTCAATTGTTATAGGCTTAACGGTTTTAATTTCGAATACAGCCAAATTATTAGAATAATAAACTATGTATCATACGATTGAGAAATAAACAAGGAAGAATAGAAGAAGAAGAAAAAAGAAGATAAACAAAGAAAGTTCTTTTATTTTATTTTATATGGAAAAAATTGAAGCGGTAACTTATAAAAACTTGGTTGATAGGAAATATACCTATTCTTTTTAGAATGGACTCAGAACTGCCCAATAAAATGGCACACTTAGATATAATGGAAATAGATAAACCTGTTACAGAGCTTTCTAATAATGATGAACATGTTTGTGCAACCACGTCGCGTGTTTTGAGGAAAAGAAAATCTTTGGCTGCTGAAACAAGTAAGCTTTCTAATAGAAGAGTAAGCATGAAACCCCGTAAGCACAACAAAGAAGATGCTAATCCTAAACAAATTGAAGCTCTATACCTAAATAAAAAAGTAAAAAGTTTATCACAGACTCTAGAAACTATTTATGAGGAGCCCAAGGCGAATAATTCTGGCACTGAGATGAATTTAGGTGGTAAAAAAGTCAAAAGACTGTTGACCTTTCAATTAGGAAGTCATTACACTAAAGACAAAATTAAAAAAAGAAGAGCTAAAATCAAAAAGCTTCTTGGAAATAAATCATTTTTAAACAGAAAAAAAATACCTATGCAAGTATTTCTTAAGACAATTGAATGCCTCGATTTAGATGAAGTTGTGCATATTGAAAGTAAAACTATTGAGAGTGCTGTATAGTGTAAATTGAAGAGATTTGGTATTAAATGACTTTATTTTTATGGGTAAATCATAAAACATAAGTCATTTAATGTGAAGCTTCAACTATTGTGTTCTGCTGTATTGTCTTTCAATTACATATGTTATTCTTATTTTTACAATAAATAGTATACTTGTCCACATGCCGAATACTGCATATTCTGTAGACTTCCTGGCTAAATAGCCGAATATTAGGCAAAAGTATTCGGCCGGGAAAATAAATACTGCTTGTATTTATTTTTCACAGCATCTTTTCTCTGAAGCTGGGATTGTCTAGGAGAAGAAAAAAACTGCCTGAAAATGAAGAATTTAGTTTTTCTGCACCATTATCTTCCACTTTAATTATAATAATTCGAGTGGATAGACATTTATCTGATAGTTATTTTTGTTAATTTTTCTAATATAAAAGTTGAGTACAAGAAAAAAAAATTAATTCTAAGATAAATAAATATTTTCATTTTACCAATTATCTGACTACAATAAAACCTCTTAAAGTATTTGGTATTTGATTGAATAGTACCTAGATATTCGACTGAACAGGATAAAAGTAGCACAATAGGTTGAATAACGAACAATCGCTGAATATTTGTTGCAAGTCTAGTTATTATTATGTATGATTATTTACAATTTGTTTTTTATTATAGGAGAGGGAGCATGCGGCTCACCTGATGGTAAGTGACTACCGCCGCCCATCAATAACTGCAACACCAGGGGAATTGCAGATGTGTTGCAAACCTTTTAAAAAGGAGTAGGCTCTCTTCTTGAGGTCCCTAAGTCGTATCGGTCTGGAAAAATCGCTGGTGGTATTCAATTTCAACAAGGAAGTTGTGCAAAGAAGAAAACATCTTCTAAATCGCACAGTGGTGGACCGCCAATCATCCAAATGGTATTGTGAGTTATGTCGCGATGTGCGTTGGTGAAATTGAGCGGCTGGAATTAGTCCGACCTATTTCTCAGAGCACTCCCAGTGGTAGATGCGATAAAATACACATACATGCGCCTTGTAAACTTGCAAGCTGTGTGCTGGCATGAAATACTGTCCCGCTCTGCTGAGCACGCCATACTTTTTAGAGGCCAATTTGGCCTTTTCTTCCAAGTGACCACAAAACTGCACATCACTCGATATGTCGACGCCGAGGATTCCCATACTGGCTGTGGCAACAAGGGGAGTGCACTGATACGACAAAGAGGTTCTTTTTAGCTCTAAACGCGCAATCTTGTGTCTTCTGGAGATTGAACTGGACTAGATTTAGTCGCCCGCAGTCCGAGACTATTCAACAAAGTCTCGACTTCAGACACAAGTTTGTTTCGGTATTCGGCGACGTTTTTCCGAGAAATATTGGCACGGCCGGTGTATAAATCATCACCAGTGCTGTCGTCCGTATAGCAATGAATGTTATCAGTTTGCAACATATCATTGATATGCAGAAGAAACAGCTTTGGTGATAGCACGCAGCCTTGTGGGACACCAGCGTTAATGGGCTTGTAATCAGAGCATGCACTGTCTACTACGACCTTGATGCTCCGATCTGCAAGAAAACTGGTGATCCAATTGCATAATTTCTCGGGAAGCCCATAGGAAGCAAGATTCGAAAGAAGCGCTTTGTGCCAAACCCGATCGAAGGCCTTCGCTATGTCCAAAATAACGGCCAACGCCTCCACCTTGGACTCCACTACCTCCGCCCATCTTTTGTTTTCGTACCATGAGTTAGGTAACATAGAAGATCCCCAGCTGAGCGACCCCGACGAAAACCGTACTGGCGTTCACTAATCAGCTGATGATCCTCAAGGTACCGCATGAGCTGGCAGTTAATAATCGTTTCTATTATTTTGGAGAACAAGGAGGTGATAGCGATAGGCCTGTACTTTGACGGATGTGAGCGGTTGCCTTTTTAGGGATCGGGTGCACAAAGCTGTCTTCTATGAGTTCGGGACTACGCCTAGGGAGGAGGAGTACCGGAAAAGTCGCGTTAAAACCGGTGCCAACTCCGAAGCACACGTCTTCAGCACAATAGGTGGGACTCCATCAGGCCCACTCGACTTGTTGACATCCAGGGAGAGGAGTGCTTTGCGCACCGAGCGTTGTGTCAACAAGCACATTTTGGCATGCATGGAGCGCACACACCACGGGATGGTCGGCGGTGTGTTCTCCCCGTCATCGAGAGTAGAGTTGGACGCAAAGAGAGCCTAGAAGATCGGCTTTCTAATTTGCGGCATGGGCCAGTGAGTCGTCCACCCTATGCATATATGGCAGAGGTGCTGACAGAAGTTCCCTAGGACAGCCTCGGTGAGAGACCAGAATGCACGTGTTCCCGAAGGAAATCGAACTAGTTTCTCGCTAATTCTGCCGATGTGATTTGTATGAAATCACATCCAAACTCCTTGTTTGGCAATGACGCTTGAAGGACCTGGAGGCGGAGTTATATTTTTTTAAGGCCGCTGGTGTTTGCATTCCGAAACGTTGATGCTTCAGCTCAGGCCCGGTAATACTCCTGCTTATAGCGTGATGCAATTTTACAGGAGTGACCAAACCATGGCTGAGTTCTGCCTCCGATAGGCACCACTGATGATGGAATAAATAGTTCCATTCTCTGAAGTACCACATCAGCGACAGAATCAGCAACAACGTTGGGATCATCCGATGAGAAGCAAACCACAGGTAGGAATCCAAGGGTAGGATGTAAAAAAAGACCACATCTCGTCCCAATCAGCGGACCTGTGTTGTTCACACGTATATCTACAATTGAAGGAGCACTAATAAAACAATATGTAAAAATCGAGACGGCTGGTATACAACGTCCGCTCGCACTGGCGTTCCGTGTAGAATTGAATGCGAGAGGGCGCTGTCACCGCCGCGTTGATTCATTTATTTAGTTCCGGAACACCACACGACATATAGTCCCAAACACGGCGGCAAGCTCCAGATCGCAAATGCGATGGAAGTGTGAGTGACACCGTACTCCGGATCAGTCAATGGTCAGAAGAGCCAAGAGGGACATCGACAGAGACTTGATATCCTCCGGATGAGAAGTCAGCAGAAGTTCCAACAGGGAAGGTACATGATTCTCCTCATCTCGGATCCGCGTAGGCGAAGTAACCAGCTGTGTCAGACCATATGCCAAAGCAAAGTCATAAACCGATCTACCCGATGGATGGGTTAAACGGGAACCAAGCCATTCAGCGTGGTGGGCGCTAAAGTCACCGAGCATCACGATCTCTGCGGATAGGACCTGTTGTAGCACGGAATCTGCAGCCATTTAGACGTGATCGATGAGTCGGTCTGTGTCGGCATTACCGCTATGGGACCTATAGAGGCACCCGTAGACGCGGGGATGGTCGTCGCTGTCTACGCGCAGCCCTAGGATGGACAGGTCCGTACCTTCAAGATTGCCGAGGCGTCGAAAACAGATGTCCTCTCTCACGTACACGCACTCCAGCCCGGGACACAAAGGAATGTTATAATTTGTACCCCGGGTAGGAGATACGGAGTATCAGCCGGAGAGGACACCTGTGTCGTGGTTAAAAAGAGCAAGGCCAGCTTTGCCGTCTTCAGATGGTAGTGGACGGCGTTAAGGTTTGAATGAAGTCCCCTGATGTTGCAGAAATTCACGGATAGCGTGGCAGGAGTTGCCTTTGTCTAATTACTCCGCTTGCCCCGAGCTCGTCTTAAACGGAATTTTCTCTTTCCCCCAGAATACGCAGGGCAGCCCGAGCACCCACGCTCAGAAAAAGTAGGGTAGCTTGGGCGTGGATGCTCAGCGGGGGATTGTCCGTCACCAGGGGTGCTGGTACCCTTCTGGGGTAGTGTTTCATCTAACTCCACCACCATGTTAAGGGAAGGAGAGGGGGAATTGGGCCTCCAGCCACCTGCACTCACCAGGAGAAAAGCAGAAGTAAACTTCTACTTCACGCTGGTATTCTGTGACATTGTGGTACCACCCTGGCTTGAGCCGGCCCATCCATACGACAGCAAAAGCTGCCGCTCGGCTCTGCCACTGCTAAAACAAATCATTTTAGAACAAATATAACCTATATAATATGTATTTTTTTAATTGAAAAAAATTATTATGTATGTTGTTCTGACATTAATTTGAAACACCTTGGTTCTTTGAACATTAGTATTAGTTTATACGTGGTAGAGCCATGCTGCAGCTATATTAGTAGTATAGTTATAACACGAATGGGTCGGCTTGACCGGGGAAGGACCACGTTCTCACAGAATACCAGCGTAAAATAGCAGCTTAATGCTGTTATGCATAGAATTATTACGTATAAGAATACTAGTGCGCGCACCATAAGTGAAGCAACTAAAACTAACGGCGGCTCTACACGTTGGCCAACATACTGGCGAATGTGTTGGCCAACAACGATGGCCATCGTGTAGAGCGGGTGTTTAAGCTACGATGATATGTATTGGAACGCCCACATGTTGGCGCGCGATCCGTGTGATGTCGGTTTTTTGCAAAAGATGAAAGGGTTGTGGCAGAGTATTGGCCGTCGCGTCCACACGTTGGGCGCACGTTCAGTTTGCTACGAGCTCCCAGTGATCGCACGCACCTGATTTAAATTTTATATGCACGCATCGTAACTAGTGTCTACGTAATAGCAGTAACAATGACCAATAGAAAAACATTGCGCTTTATAGAGCCCCACCAAACCGAAAATTGTTTGTGAAACACAAGTCTTTCAAATAGAATAAGTATGACAAACGAGCACGCAGTCCACCTGATGGTAAGTGGTTGCTGTGGCCCATAGACATCTACATCTATCTTCGTTTGCGAATTAAAATGCAGATGCGTTGTCAGCTGTGAGGACTAAGATAGAATGCCTCTTTTTCCAGTAAAATGGGTCTCCGGTTTTCTACACACCATACGAAACAAAGCAGCATTAACCGATTCGTTGCGGCACCAATTTTCGATAACTTTTAGCTGTGGCGGCGAACAAATATTTCATGACACGCCGGGCGTGTCCTGCGCCACAGA